CACCCTATTATTTTTTCTCCTTCCTTTTCCAAGCACAGTCAAGATTCTTGCTTTCAAGTTTGATGGTATTACAGCTCCTCAACAAAACAGTCACAATTAATGTGTTTTTCATGGTCCTCTAAATTATCTGGAAAACTCCTTACACAGAAATTCAGGTCACTCCAGACCTCTTGCAGAGAATATTGCAGGTTAGGTGATTGAAATTTGACAAAGTTATTCATAACTGAGATACATTCAGTTACTGAGAATAGTAAGGTAGCCTTGATGGTAAGTACTGGTGACAAATTGGGTTTTACCTATAATAAAAATCTAGTCCCTGTATTTCCCTGGCAGTTGTGGTTATCACAAATAGAGGCCATGATTTGTGTAGTGTCCTTCCTGTGGAAGGATAGAGCCTTCTCTGGGAGTAGCTGCAGCAGACTCGCAGTCCAGCTCTCAATTCCCCTCAGAAACATCATTTAGTTTAGTTATGAAATCCAGGACATAGAATAATGGTGATTTATGGGTTTTCTCTGCGTGTGTAGTTGTTTATAAAGTACATTTCAATAATTAATCTTCAAAAGGCTCATTTCTCATAATCAATTCTGTTGAGAATATCTCAACATTGTGGGCTCTATGTTGCCAAGCTATTTGCTTTAATAATAGTAAAATCAGTATTTTTGAGCTGTTAAGCAAAGTAATTTTATTTGTAAGTATTGTGCAATCACAATGAAGTTCTTAACCTGATATTAAATCAGAGGGAGACAACTTATCTTGCATGTTTACTGCCTGAATTAAATAGTAACAAGAATTGCATCACTTTTCAACAAGATGGCTGCCACCAGGTTTGAACCCTTTTATTTACCAACTGCAGCTGAAACTGCTTCAAGAAACATTGCACCATTTATTTTTGTCCACAAACGAGAATTTTTTTTGTTTCCATCTGAAACACTATTACAGTTCTGAACTACGCAGATGAACACAGTTTTTCTTCAAGCAAACAATTGACAAATCCTGAGAAAAAGGTGTTTGGAGAAAGAGCCTATGCATTTTGAATTCTTCAGTTTTAGTCCAGAATTATGAAATACCAAGATCTCACCAGGATGTGATCCTCAATTTCCCTATTTTGCCCATTTGTCCCACGATTTCATCCCTCCTTCTTACCCATAATCCTCTCTTGTGATTTTTGACTTGAAGAAACTTTTAAACTGTCTGCTAATGAGGGAGAATAATTTTAAAAATATTAAAAATCTGTATGGGAATTGTATAGGTTCACATTATATCTCCTAAGGTGGGTTTTTCCTGATATTTAAATGTCATAATTATGCATTATATTGTTTGCATTGTCAAGACAATGCATTATTTTTCTTGCCTTCTATTTAGCTTGAAGCACTTGGAAAGAAATGGGAATAAACAAAAATTTATAAGATAAGTTGCAGTCTAAGCCTGTCATCTGAAGTAGGCCAGCATTAAGTAGTCTAGGATTGATGAAGGAGAGCTGCATTAGATGAGCCTGGGAGGACTAAAAGTAATTTCTTTCACTCTGACTTCTACAGTAATTCAACTTTTTCAGGAAACTACCAAGAAGATTGATTTTTCTAGTTCAGTTTACTCTGGAAAGTGTCTTTTGCTTCCTGAATATGCAATCTGAAAATTTTAAAGGCAGATTAGATTTTTTAAGGGATATTAGCACACATCATGTGTCAGATGAATTATACTCAGAGCTGCAGCCACAACATAGGTGATCTACAGGTTCATTTTGTGCTGCATTAAACCCTTCTGCCAGTATATTGGAAAGGCCAAGATAAAGAATAATATAGCTTCTGTATTCATTTGAGATCTGTCTCTCAAGATGACAAAGCAACTCCAGGACTGCTGACTGTCTTCTTTGATTTCCACTTGTTTCATGAGTGGAGCTCAGTACTTTAAAGTGTTGCTCGGCATGCTACAACAGTAGTGTTTTTAGTGTAACCACAGCCAGTATAGTAACTCCCACTGATGAATTTTGCTATAGGAATGAGGTATGATAGAACAGATTTTACTCTGGTCATCAGTGTGTGTTTACATGGCACCAAGTGGTCCCCTTTGCCATTAGGGGTTATTAAGTTTTGCTGGTGTGATACAAAATAAAATAGCAGGCAAAGATTTGTTCCATTTTGTTGGCTCCCCCATTGTGTTTGCTGTGCATAGCCCCTTGTAACTGGAATATGTTGTCATCCATAAAGATGTTGATGCACCTAAAAATCATATTACATATAGGAAAGCAGAGCTCAGGGAGGTTTGCACGCATGTCCCTTCTGCATTTACAGTCAAGAATAGTGTCTGTTAGGTCTGTAGCTCTTTATCATGGTAATGTTCATGGAAAAACAGTGATTGTTGCTCTCCTGAGTGAATTGGTACTCTTTTGCACTGAGAAAACATGTAAATTTGGACTGAAAGAAAACTTTGGAAACTTTGTCCCCAGAAACAAAACTGGGGAGAGCGAAGAGATTTCTTAAGGTGAATTGTCGTGTTGCAGGAAGTGTTTTAGCAAACAGTACAATGGAGCAAGACTGTATCACATTAAGTCTCCTAATAGATACCAAAGAAATGATACCATGACAGTAAAAGATCTCCTTTGATTTTTGTTTATCCTTCTTCCACTGGAAAAGGTGAAGTACCCTGCCTGTACAGCTTAAAAGTCATGCACTTATGCAGTTGTGGTGTCAGCCCTACTTTAGAAATGGTGGTTTAAGAAGGCTCAGTGCAAGGATTTTTAGAGGAGTGCTGAATTATTTTGATATGTGTTTACTGTACATGTACTCAGATACAAGTTTTGGCCTCAAGCTTCGTTTATTGACTTCTGATATACGAGGTATGACTGTGAATTAGGAACAAGACTACACAAACACCTGGATGAGCTAAAAGCACTTGGGCTAACCAGCATTCATGGGTTTTAAAGTCTACTTTTGACATGGGGGAAAGAAGGAAAAAGTAACAGTGATTAGGGGAAACAACCTTACTGATGTATGGGAAAGCTACACTGTATGAATGGTAGGAAATGCTGTAGCTTAGGGATCTGTAATGGCTTTCATGTTCATTTATTGCACAGCATCCTCACTTGGAAACCAGAAGGCAGGTGTGTCAGTTTCAATGGTCCTCTCTTTTCTGACATTTATTTTCAATTTAAAAATATGGCAATTTAGAGCTTTATTCATTAAGCTGAAAAACAAAAATGCAAGGATGTCCAGGAGATTATTGGCTTCTTCTTAATCACACTACCCATTTCAATTCAATGTAAAGATTATCTGCAGGGATTGGCACCTGAAAGTTAAAAAGACAAACAACCTTTTCTAATGAATTAATATAACTGTCTGCCCTTTTCATTTTATTAAAAAAATCATTTTTAAATTACGTATTCCAAAGACATTGCAAAAACTGTTGTAAAGTAGAAATAATCTATTAAAAATAATTTAAAATTTATGCAGCAGTGAAAACCAAATCTTCAGATGTTGAAGTTAGTGTTCATCTTCAATAATCCTTATACTGAAATAATATCTCCCAATCAGATCAGTAGATTCTTATTTCAGACAATTACATGGCATCTTGGAAATAAAAGAAAATTAATTTCCAACTGCGCTGATCTAACATAGATTTTGTCTTTCAATGCTGGAATTCTCAAAAGGCAAAGGATTTCAATGTTAAAGTACCAAAAGTGTGAGTGAGTGGAGTCAGTTATTACTTCACATATAGTAACTGCACATAAGCTTCAAATCTGAATGGTGATGCAGAGTTCCCAGTGCTTTGTGTAGGTAAGACAAACTGATAAAAAAGTAAGATGATCCTTCATATATAACATTTATTAAATATCTATTTTCTGTATATAATTGAAAATTATTTGTTTGTGGAGTGGGAATAATTGTAATTCGTATTCCCTTTAAACCTACTTGCTGGGGAAACATGAAGGAGTTATTACATAAGTAAAAAAAAAAACTTCTTACAGAGGACTGAATCAGTAACAGAGCGCTTTGCTAATCCTAGGTATTGTACCATCATTTTGCATCTGAGAAAGCTACCTCAAAAGTAATGTCAGCATTGAAGTTAAATTGCTGAGTGTCAAGGGAGAAGAAAAGGGTGAACATCTTGAGCAGTTGACTGTGGGTGTTTGTTGTATTCACTGTCTCCCCTAATTACTTGTAGCTGTGACAAAACTTATGCTGCATGCATAATTTTTAAATTCATTTTTTAAAAAATTAATTTTCCTTCATCTAAAAATCTGTGATTCATATGTTTTTAACTGAAAGAGCTCTTGCAAACACTCCAAACTTGTGTGTTTTGGGGCAGTTATTTGAATAAAAAATGCTGCTTTTCATGGCTTGCCTAACTGGGCTCTGGTCACACAAGCGGTGGTATGCAGCTTATCCTGTCAGGCTTATTTACTGCTAATGTTCTGTTTTCATGGCAGTAGGATTTTAAAGAAAAGCAACTATGGGAATACAAAACAATTTTTGCTTTATTCTTCAATACATGGGACTTTTTTTCCTGCATGTCCAAGTTCACTTGCAGCAAGTTGTACACATACATATGGTTCTCATGAGCATCTGCCTGCCTAGAGAACTGTGAAAAGTAATTGTGTTTTGATGGGGTTTTTTAACTTTATGTTCCCCAGAATGAAAGAAAAACTTAATTAAGGTTTCTAGATAAGATCTCTAAGGAAAGACCATTGTAGGAATTTACTTTTGCTGGTTTTGTTCTGAGATCTTGAAGTCTATTTCCATTACTGGACAGGACTGGCAAATGAATTGCAATTAAAGGCACAATAGCAAAAGAGATTAAATACAGAAATGATAACTGACAGTGTGGGCTTCCTTCAGTCCTTTTGTTGGATAGAAAGTGTGGCTCCAAGTCCTGCACCAGACTTTAGTAAACTGCTTTACCCTGTTGACCCTGGAGTCTAGTTCTCCTGAGCAATGCATGAACAATGAGGATCTGGGTTTCCCTTCCGTCAAATGAAAACTCTTTCTTTTCCTTCTTTCCCACAGGAGGAGAGGTTCCATACACAACCCTGGCAACCCGACTGATGATGGGAGCTTGGTGGCTTTTTGCTTTGATTGTCATCTCCTCCTACACAGCAAACCTAGCAGCTTTCCTCACCATCACACGCATTGAGAACTCCATCCAGTAAGTTGATAAAGAATGATTCAAGGGAAAGGAGGGCGAACATAAATATACATGTAGAGGGGTATGAATGTTCTACTTAAATGTGATAAAAGGAATAAATTTTTATCATCCTGAGAAGCTGGAAAAATAACAATATACCATAGACTGTCAGTCTCCCGGGAGACGCGTTGTTTTCAGGATGAAAATTTTTGGCCTCCAGCAGATACTTTTCCCTGTGGCACACATACATATGTATATATGCACACATACGTATTTTGAAAGAAGCAATTGAGTTTGAGATAACCATTGTATTAGTGCTCGAAATGGGAAAGTATAAATTGTTGCTGTGTATACCAGCTATGCTTTCTATTCAGGCGTATCCCACAATACTTGTGTTCTGACACTTTGGTCAGGACGAACCCAATGCTTCTTCAATGTATGGAGAGCTCAAAGCTGAATTCACCTATTCTTGCCAAGGCAAAGATGTGTTAGCAGTAACAAACCATAAAAAACTCACTCATTAGTTAACTTTGCTCCTTCTGCTCTCAGGTGCTCTCTTACCACACAAGCAGATCACATTCTTCTTTTTTATCTATTGGTTCTTTTGCTTGAGGCCTCCCTAACATGAGTGTCCTTGTCTTTTCCTGTCCCTCTTATAGTGAACTCTCTTTCTGTCATACATTCCAGTCCTTTTTTGCAGACCATCTCTCCATATCACAGGAATCTTTCTAGGCCTCCTACCCTCTCTCTGACCTTTTGTACTCCAGTATTGTGCTGATTTAAGGGTAAACCAGCAGGAGAAATGAACCCAACTCAAAAGAGATTATAAGTCAGAATTACAATTTAATAAAAATAATACAAATAAATACAATTATACAGACAAACAATTAGTTTTAACCCACAAAACCCAGATGTATAACCCAGCGCCCTGGGGCACGAACAGAAAGGTGTTCTGAGCTGAGCCCCACGTGGCCCCCCTGAGTCCAAAGTAAAAGGAAAAGAAGACATGTTGGTGAGAGTGCTAGTCGCAGTCTGGTCCCTGACTTCTGTGTATCATCCTCTAAGGTCTTTCTACCTCTAGTTCAGCTACTTTCCAAACCTCTCTGAAATTCCCCTTGAGACAGCAAGCCACTGTTACAGACTGGGTAGGGGGAGCCTTGGCCTACTGTGAATTCATAGGTTAGGATCAAGAAGCACTGCATGGCAGCTGGTCACCATGCTCACACCAAGGCACTTTTCCTCTAGGTGAGGATTTTCTACATACTAAAACCAATCCAGGCTTTCATGGCACATAGGCAAGTAAACATCTGCAATACCAGACAAGTTTCCTTTGCATGTTTCATTTGGAAGATGAAGTTCAGAACCAAGAGCAGAAGCAGTCCCTAACTTTGAGTGCCTGGTTGTCTCCTGACTCTCCCCATTAGGAGCATCCTCTTGCACTTCATGAACCCTTTCTCCCTGCTTATTGAGTGTCCCTTGGCCCAAGTCGCCCAGGCTTTATCAGTCCTTATTCATTCCTAACTGGAAATTTGCTATGGCTGTTTCATTACCCTTCCTTTCTGGGATAACAACCCCAACGCTTTCCTCTATTAGAGGGCTAAATACTCTAAGACAGAGATATGTAAATGAGTCTAAAATCACATCAGGAAATTATTAAACAATTAAAACAAGTTATCTTATTTTTTTTGTTCTGAATAACAGACTTTGAGATCATGGAATGCTGCAGGGGACTTTGACACAACCCAACTGTTTGACTCCGTAGTTTCAATTACAATCCCTTCAAAATGTATAGAGGAGTAAAATGATATTCTGTGTCAATGTTTGTCGACACTGAGAGAGAGGTTTTGAGGGAAGTTGGGTTTTTGGGGTTTTTTTCTAAGTTTAAAAAGCTTTAAATATGAGTAAGGACTGTGAAGAAAAAAACATGAGATTTTTTACATGCAAAATAAATAATAGTGATATATTCAGTCATTCAGTTTGTCCTTACAGGAATGAAATATGCCTCTGCATCCTGCTTTAAAATCATGCCCCTTCTCGTTTTGATGTAGTCCAGAAAAATGTTCAAATTACTGTGAAAAATGTCTGTTTTCTTATCATGTCTAAAAAAAGGAAAAAAAAATATACCCAAACTATAATTTAATACACCTTCAGCTTTTTCTTGCAGTTTATTATGATGTCTCTAGAAAACCCTCAGTGGAAATCTGAGGTTGTTATGTACAGTTGGGACTACATTGGTCTTTGTGCTGTATTATTTATGGGCAAAGTCACTGAAAATGTTTTATTCAGTAGAAAATGTTGCAGCTGGAGAGCTCCTGGAATGAAAGAACAGAGACATTTTTCAACAGCACTTTCAGCTCAAAAATAGAGTAATTAAATGTGTTAAGTATCCATTAGGGAATGAAGTTATCCTAACTACGGCAGGAGTGTAAAACTTTAGTTTACAAAACTGCCAACATTGGAACTGAAACCAGCACATAAGAGAGAAGCTGTTTGTTTACCGTGCTGAATTACTGCAAAGTGGAAAACATGAATAAGCAATAAAGAAAAAAGCTGATGCTCCACTTTTTTTTTTTTTTTAGCAGTTCAAATTGTACCTTGGGGAGCCTTGAAGGCCAGAATGGAAATGAGTATGAGCATTTGGAGAAAGTAATCGAGATTCTGGTTGTAGTAGTATCCAACCAGCTTCAGAGAAGTCAGAAAAATGAAAGAAATTGAAGTCAGTAGATTTGCACAGATATAACAAGTAGTTAATAGGTTTTCATTTCCGATTTCCAGCTAGCATCAGATATTGCAGTGTGTTGTTGAAGGTATGGTCCTTGTGATATCTTTTACAAAAGATAGGAGGATTCAAGCAGTCCACAGCATATTCCATTTCTGTGAAACTTTTTGGTAGTTACTGCATTTCAACTTTTGGATATGAAGCCAGTTTGTTTCAGAGCTTTTGCAGCTTCCCTTTCTTGTCTGGTATGAAGGCTGGGTCACTCTTCCTAGTCAGTTCCTTATGGTATCCAGAATTCTATTTTGAGAAGCAAAGCATGCAAAATTTTGTTAGTCAGTGCACTAGGGAGGACTAGTTAAATGTACCCTTTCCCTAGAGAGTCTTGAAGTAGATCTTTTCTGTATAACCTCACTTGATGGCATTCGTGCCCTGCTTCAGTGTTCAATTTGAATCAAATCGTTACAGTTTTTAAATTGATTTAGAAGAACTAGAAGGAAAAGAGTGGACATTAATCTCTTTTTCCAGACTAACAGCTACTTTTAATACCTTCAGGAGCTCAGCTTTTCATTTTCTGCCAATACACAATATTAAGAGTAGAGGCACTCAAGTTGTAAAGTAGTTCCTGGATGCATCTTTTGTTCACACTTGACCCACATTGCAAATGACATTTAAATCAAGACACTCAGCATTTCAAATGCCAAAACATTGTGGCAGCAAAGCAAACCATAATTTCTCTTCTCCTTAAATCTTAAGATCACTGTCTCAAATGCAACATTAATTAATAGTAATTAAGAGTGGCTTTCCTTGGTAAATGCCAAATAAATTTGGAGGTCGTGAGCTATTTCTCATAGGTGCTGATGCTGTGAATTTAATCAGTGAGCCACTATTGACATTATTGTGTTTTATGATTCCTTTAGGACAGAATTAGAGTCCATGGGCAGAGATTGATTTTACTCAAACTACTGCATTGTTTTTTCTGGGTTAGAGGATGGTGTCACCACCTTCTCATGGGCACTGAAATTTTGCAGGAAGGTTGGAGGAATGGGGTGGACAGAGGAGTCAAACAATTTGTCATATGAAAGGCCAATGTTAGGTGGTTTCGAATTTAATCCACTCCTAAAAGTGTGGAAGCTTAAGACTTCAGATTGTACGTGTTAAGGGAAGAGTCTGCATCTTGTGTCTTCTGTAAAACAAGAAGTTCACATAATGCTCTCCATGTTACAACTACTATGTCTTATTTGATAGGTGAGACCTCTGCCTCCAAATAATAGAGGAATAGAGGTAAAGCCTGTCTTTCTTGCCCAGTCATTCTTTTCACGACATTTTTCTAAACCATGATTCACTTGAAGCTAAGATCTCCCCGAGGCTTTAAACAGCTCAGTGCAGCTGACTACAAGACTTCTGCAAGGGGGTTACACAAGAACTCGGTAATTAGATATTTCCTGATGCTGAAAAACAGAATGTTCTTTAATCTTTCCTTCAGCATGGTTCACCCAGAACTTCATCCTAGCAATATTGCTAGCCCTATTGCTAGCAATATTGCTAGCCCTATTGCTAGCAATAGGGCTAGCAAGCCCTATTGCTACTTTCTGCCACAGCTGTCCCTGCCAACAGTTAAATCTCTTGGCTTAATGTGCCCTGTCCCCTAAGCGTAAGTCTCCCTGCGAATTAATCCTTACTGTCCTAGGAAAAAAGCCCAACCAACCAATAAAACCAGCAAACAAAAAAAGAACTGGAAAACTTTATCTGAATTATTCATAAATAAAGACTTCAGTGTAAGGCATGACATCAGTTATGTTTTGCCTAAAATTTAGTGACTACTTCTTAGACACAGCTCTGTGCAACAGTGAAGTCTAACACAGCTAGCCTAAATTGATCTATAACCCAGATCTACAAAGATATGTTGATGCCCAAGTGTCTGATCTCAGTGGTGTTTAATCATCTAAAAAGAAATTTGGTTATTTCTTTATGGAGCTGACCTTTAGCTTATCAACATTTTTTTTGTATTTTTTTAAGGCTTTTGGCTGACATATGTGAACATGTTACCACTTCTGAGTCTAGGATTTGAGTTTATAGAAGAGAGTGTGCTTTGGAGAAAGAAACATATCCCAATCCTACTATGTTTCTCTTCTAGCTGGAAGCAGAGATAATCTTTTTAATTACAAAATAATTAATTTTTCCTAAGCCATAAAATGAAAGTGACCTGAAAACTGCTGCCTAATTAAGGTGCAGAATACTAAACAAGATCAACAAATGCTGGAAAATACATGTATCTGTTAATAATTCATCCTCAAATGACTCA